GGTGTGAAAATCAATTTCAATAGTTTTGTTTGGGGGCTATACACCGATCATATAACCACTTTCAATCAAAATCTGAGAATGGTTATACACCGAGAGTGTATAATCATTTAGAGTGTATAAAAATACAGTAAGTTTTTGACCATTTTAATGGAATATTTCCAAATAATGATTTAATATAATCCATCGCATTGTCACCGTTTTTTTTGGTTTTATACCCGCTGTTGACACAAAGTTAAACCATATTTTTTGCCATATAAAAAAATAACATTTGAAAAATGTAAAATGATGATTAACATATTGTTTATTCCATAGAGTTGAGGTTCCATTGATTTCAATTGAATTCTACATCGATGAACACTTTTTGTCAAATGCTATTCTATTGAAGTTCAACTAAACTTCTTTGATCCGTTCTATTTATATTTTTGGTCAAGTTATTTTGAGAATGTCTGTAAAAAAACTGAATATCCAATACTTTTGGTTCATCTATTTCCTAGTAACTTTCCGATATAAAAAATAAATATAATTTGCTCACTTTTTTATTAATAAAGTCTGTTTTTTATTTAACGATATTCTAAAAATATAAAAAAGAAAAGAAATAGACAGAAAAATTAAACCATTATTTACTATACTCAATATCGCTAATTAAAAACCGTTAACTATTAATAAAATTGCCATAAATTAAAACTAATGATGAACGAATCGAAAGCATTGACTTTTTTCATATCACTTGTTGTTTTTTCAATAAGTTTTCTATCCAATTGATTAGATGACCCGTTTGCTCTATCTGAAACGACAATTTGTTTATTTGTAATAATCCAATTGACTCGTTTATTTCCTTTTTTCAAGTTTCAACACAACAACATCAATTTCTTTGGCATATTCCATCAAATTGTATTTATGTAATTTGATTGTTTCTAACCAATTTAATCTGTTCAATTCTGTTTCTACTGTTTCCAATTCTTTTAAATATTCAAGTGAATTGTCAACTGTTTGTACACCCTATATTTTGAGCTCAAGTTCCATATTTTCTTTTTTCAACTTTTCAAGTTTCAATTCCATTTCACCACATCGAGATTTTAACTGCTTTATGACACTCCTTAAAACCTTTTCACCGTCTTCCTCTTCTTTGACTTTATTTTTTAGTTGTGTTTTTCTAGTGACTTGCCTTTCATTGATTTCGATTCCTCTTTTTTGTACTAATCCACAAATGCATTTGTTCACATTCCCTTTCTTTGAATATCGCATAATCATGTGAATCGATCAAATTAAACTCTTCATCTCGTGTTGCCATTTTCATGGCCATTCTTTTTGTTTTAAACAATTCACGTGTAAATAAAGGGTATGCTCCCTGCATAATTCTGGCATATTTTATCGCACTTGTTACATTGCAATCAGTATAACTGTGATGAAAACAAGATTCTTTAACCATACCAAACATTCCATTCAAACACTTGCCATTAATCAACCTACAAACGTCCAACCTGGCATAAAAACTAGACACCAACCTGTTTATTGTGTCAATTGGAATATCTTCCCAAGCCTTCATAATTGCATCATAAAAGACGTCCAAATTTTCTGTTTCAACCCCTTGCATCTTTTCCTTGAGAATAGACCTAAAAATAAATACAGCATATTAGTCAATAAAATAACAAACCAACACAGCTCAATTGGATTGAGATCGGTACTATTTGATGGCCAAAACTTAAGTATGTCAATCTGGTTTTCCAAAGTACTATAGACAACATTTGAAGTGTGGCAAGTTGCCCCATCTTGCATGAAAATGGTTCTTGTTCACAACTTTTTAATAAGATCACAATAGCCATATCTTTTCATCATCATTAAATATTCATTTAAACCAACAGAGTGCGGGCATCGGACGATGTGAAATTTATACCCATAACTGATTTCTCCAAACAACATCATACGCATTGGGTATTTTGGTTTTTTATAATATCTCAATTCATTTATCTTATTCTTTTGATTTCCAAATCCCCACACTCTTTTTATTGCTTCCGACTTTTTTATTGTGGTCTCATCAGAAAAAAAACAAAGGAATATTCACAATAAGTGGTGAGAATAAAATTTGCAAAAACCAATCTATTTTCATGTGTTCATCTGTTATATTAGGTATCACAATTGGAAGATAATATTTTATGTATCGTTTGAGTAATATTTCTCTTATTGTTGTTTCTGATACCTTGTCGTCGATGCCTTGGTCAATCAACATTTTTTAGTTTCTTTAAGTGTTTGCGTGGGATTTATTTCAGTCAAGTCAACTATAGACTTGCTAAGATTGGTTTTATCTTTACATTTTCTTCCCCTTTTACTGTTAGTAAAATTGTTACTGTTTTTAAATTTGGTAATTATTGTGCTTACAGTACTTTGTGACATTTTCAGTGATTGTATTCTTTCTTTTTCTTTTTTTTTCTTTGAAGATAGAGAATAATTATTTCCCATTTTGTTTCATTTGATATAACTTTTCGTTGTTGTGTGGATTTCATTTTCGTTGTTGTTTTCGAGCTGTGTTTTGAAGGTATTAAATTAACGTCACCGATTTGCGGTAAACCAAATTTTTGTTTCCCTCTTTTCATTTTGGGATCCATGATTATTCAGTTATTAGTTCGGTTTTGTTATTTTTGCACACTTTTTTAAAAAGAGAACAAAAAAATAAAATACAAACCATTTTTTAGAAAAACCACTTTTTATTATAAATAATAATACTTTTATTATAAATAATAGTAAAAACCCAATATCTTTAAATAAAAAACAGACTTAATAATAAAAAAATATTTGTCTTAATAAAAAAAAATAAATATGTTGTAAATTATAATGAAACAATAGCTTTATGTGTAAACAATTATAAATTTATTATTATTAATTAATATTTAATGATAAAATATTAATATTTTGTTCGAGCTTGTTTAAACTTCACAAATGAAATCATAAAATATTTGGTTCATTTTTTCAAGTGACAAAATGTAATTTTGGTGTACAGTAAAAATACTAAGTGAAGAGAGAACCCACACTGGAAAA